TCAGCTATTCTATGGTAATATATATCTTTAAATTATAAATATTTATTTTATTATTATATTATTTTTTAATATTTAATTAAATTATTTAGTAGAAAGCGATATAATAAAAGACTATTAAAAATTAAAGATACTCATAATAATTTAGGCATACCATACTTATGATGTAATAAAAGTAAAATCAAAAGATGACAAAATAAATCAAATCATAAAAGTAAATATTATCATTATTATTTATATTATATAATTCATATTATCTATTATATTATTTAATTTTTTGATTATAATTACAAGATTTAAAAAAAATAAATCTGAAACAAAAAAATCAAATACTGGTAAAAGGAAATTATCATCCATTAATACTACATGAAAAAAATTGTATCAAGATGCTAATAACCAAGTTATGGATGATATTGTAATAAAAATTGAGTCTGATACAGACAAAGATAATAAAATTCCAATAAACAATATATCTACAGACATTAAACTAGAAGAGCATAAAATAGCTTTATTAGAATGCAAAATAAAACTTAGAAAAGAAGCAGCAGAGGTTGAAGCAATTAAATTGCAAAATCAACAACTGAAAAGAAATATGAGCTTAGTTTAGTTTTTCTAATATATGTTACGAAGCTAGTCAGTAACAATTAAGTTGCTTTGCTTTTTATAGTATATAAATTACTTGTGAAATATAAATTTGCTTTATAGCAGTAACTTTAAAGTATATTTTATAAATGCGACAATAATTATAGGTTCAATATTAATTAATGTTTTCTTATATAAAGAAATATATATGCATAAAATATTCAAATATACTTGTACGAAAAAATTTATATTATATAAGTGTACGTATTATTAGATCTAAATAGATCTCAAGGTTTCAAAATGAAACAAACATGTATATCTGTAAGATCATGTGATCTACATGACCATTATTGAATACAGTAACCAGTTAAACCTTTTATTCAAATCTTGACCATGCAATCCATTTTATTTTTATCTTTGTATCTATATTATTACCCAATTTTTTTTTTTTTTTTTGGTATTAAGGTGACCTCTTTGGTCTAGAGAACTTTTTATTAGAGTATAGACGAAGTTTTATATGTAATTACAATGATGGTACATCGAGCCACACGTGCACCTTTTGAGTGCCTATTTAAGTAGTCTACCCGAAGGTTCTATACTATCTGCCATACCTGTGCCCCAACTAGGGAGTACTTATTTAAACCATCTGGTTCTAACTACCTCCATCAGCCCTCTAACCCAATAGGTTTCCTCACTATTCATACGCTAGATTTTGGTATCACCCAATATAGATTTCGCACCCTACTTTAGGACACTTAACTATCCTCGAGGTAAACCTAACACAGTGGTACATGTCCCACACATGTATTCACATGCATGTTTCTATAACTTCTTCCTAATTAGTACATATTGACCTGCTGTTCCGTATTCGTATCTCACGCCACCTTTTGAGGTGCTGCCGTTCTATAGACGTTTCCCAAACACCAACCTTTCTAATTAGGCACCCATTACATACTCCTCGCCCTTGTAAGGTTCGTACAACCCCAGTACCCACATTCAGACTTTCTTTCTTTCTTGGATTCTTTACCGGTCTCTCCCTTACTTCCAGCCGGCAACCCGGAAGGGTCGGTCTGCCCAGGCTTTAGATGCCTTACGGTCTTTCTCCCCTTGGTACATGCTTCCAGAGCACATGTTCTTTTCCTCCAGTTGGTGACCCGGCAGTTCGGCTGGTGTGTCCCCCTACTTAAGGACCTGGTCGCTTGGTTTTCCAGTCTCAGTCTCCAATTCCAAATTTAGTTTTCCTGTAGCACCATTAAAGATCATACTACCTCTCTACTTGGGACTTGCCAAATGGGTTTTCAGTAATTCTGGTTTCCTGGATTTATTGCGCTAAAGCTTCTATTCGAGATGGTGTGACCAAGATTACAAATATCTGAATCCAACCGATAATCTTAACATTATTACCTAATTTATTTATATCATACATAGCAAACTAATTACTATATAAGGATATCTATACACACATAGAAGTTAACGTGTGATAGAAAGATATTTGATACTTCAGAAGACGAATTGGATCCATGTGTAATTAAGAGATAGTTATATGATTAAAATGACTAAGAGCAAAGAACTATTCAAAGAAATTACCCTTCAGATAAAATGCTTTCTGAATGAATTAGTTATCCAAGATAAACATATAGTATTTAATTATTATAAAATCACTGATATTCACAAATGTAATTATTGGTAATGACTAAAATCTCTTGAGACGAATGGTTAAGCCAAGAAGCACTCTAATATAAACAAAGATATTGGAGAGAAAATTAGTGATAAAAGAGATAATTGTATATAAGCAAAAATAGGTAGAAGTAAAACTAATAATAGAGTAGTCTAAATTATTTCTATATATTAAAAATGTATTTAAAAGACTTACTTTTACACTTCAATAAAACATTATTTGATTCCTGACTTATTTAAATAAAAATACAATACCTGTATTTTCATATACAAGTTAAATAATAAACTATTTAGACTGTTAAGAATCTTAATGATCATAATCACATGATTAATGTGAAGAGATTTCATGATCATGCATTTTGAATTATTGTTAGTTTAATCCTTGAATAACTTCTTGTATCTTTATATACATTAGCCGTTTGTCTTTTTCGAAACTTAAATTACACAGTTAAAGCCTTTTAAAGAAGCTTGAGTTAGGCAACTTTAAGGTTAAAAGCCAAGCATTTATTTGTTATCAAACTCTAGTTGTATTGAACCGATTAAAAGGTGGTTTGAGTGTAACATTTTGGTGGTAACTGTAAGATTTAGACTTCATCGTTTGTCAAGAAAATAAAGTATAAGTTATATAAACTATAGCTTATCAAGACGTACCAACACCATCGAACATGGTATATCCTATACACATATAAGAAAAAATTTCTGTAAATTGTATTATCTGTTATCCAAGAAAATATCCAAACAGTTTAAGCAATTCTTCTAGTAGTTCGCACTTACATATTTGGTTAAAGCATTTACCAAAAAGACTTACGAGTATTTTAAAAAATTTGAAACCATTTATCAACAACCACAATCTATCTAGTATCATAATTGTGTAGTCAAATTAATTTTTAGCATCACATATCATCATTTACCGGAGACCTACTTAAGCTTATCAAAGTTATAACAACAGTAGCCGCATATACCCAGTGTTTTACAACTGATCTGTTTATCTTATTTACAACCCCACAATCTCTTACACTTATAGTTAATATAGCTACAATTCAATATGTATACGATTATCTTTAGAAGCACTCTCATGAATCCATCAATTTATGTGTTGAGCTATTCTTCGAAAATGGCACACAGGATCCACTTGTCTGGTTGAAAAGTTTTGAGAAAGCTGTAGCCACTAATAACTAGAATAGCAAAAAGAAAAGATATATTCTCATTGCTTTTATGTAAAATATTGCAGATGAATAGCAATAGTTTTACTATGCTATTGCTACTTTTAATATCAATGACTACAAAGCCAACTGGGATGCTATTGATAAGGCTTTTAAGGACCAATTTTGTAACCAATGCTGGAAGAATAAATGTATACAAGATTTGGAGTTCTTGAGGCAGAGACCAAAAGAATTTGTTGACGCCTATATAAATAGATTCAATCATCTATTAGATTGGTTAAATCAGCTATCATACTCTTCTCTGAACTATAAATGCTGGTGAAATATGGTGAAATATGGTGAAATAATTTCACCACTATTGGTGAACTTGGTCGTGAATTGGTGAAATTGGTGAAATTAATTTCACCAGCATCTATACTCTGAACAACAGCTTCTCTATTTCAAATGGGGATTGCTTTCTGGTTTGCTCCTAATGTTCATAATGCATAATCCAACAGATGTCGACATCATAGTAAAATATGCCAAGATGCATGAAGAAAATACTAATTTTGCTACAAATATGAGCCTAGCACAAGAGAATAAATCAAGAAACTTAGAAAAAGAGATTGAATTTCTTATACAACAGATATAGCAAATGTCTCTCAACTACACTATTTTAGCATTAGCTCTAATCATCCAAGTTTCAGCAGGACTTTTCCAATCTTCCTAACCCTCACAGCCTAACAAGTCTAACAAGACAAAGTTAGTTTGTTACCATTGTGGCGAAATCAGGCATTTCACATGAAATTGTCTGTCGAAAAAGAAGCTCATTAAGGAACAATAGTCCCAAACTGCCCAATATAAAAGAATATTAGCTATGCAGATGATAAATATGAGGATGATTCAGAAAGACAAGAAGAAATAGTGTATATTATTTAGACACCTTATCACCAACCCTACAACAAGAATCATAAGGAGGCAAAGCAGAAATACTCAGAGTCACAAAAGGATAATACCCTGTATACTAAGTTATAAAAGAAACAAGCCATCTACAAAACCTTAAAACAAGAAGACCCATGAATACTAAAATTATTCTCCCAGTTCGAAAGAAAGTTGTAAAGAAGAGGTTGCTATCTATCATTAATCAGATTGCACTATATGATATGGCAGAGGATATTCTCAACACAAAGACCAATATAATATTAGCACAAGCCCTTAAATATCCAGATCAGAAGCAAAATTTGGCCAAAATTATGTGAAGACCTAAACCTCCCACCACAAAAGCCAATAGTCTTGAAACAGACAAGACTCGAAAAACTATAGCTATGAGATACTATGTAAAAATTAAAAGCATCTCTATAGTAGAAATATTGAATTTTGGTGTAGTGATGAGCATTATCACTAATAAGTTAATGAAAAAATTAGGCATGGCCCTCACTAAAGAATTCAAGACAGTAGTCGTTACTGCCAATGGCGGCAGATCCAAAACTCTTGATATAGTAAAAAATGTAAAAATTATACTTTAAAAAATAA